GTCCCCCTGTGTCCCCGTGTCCCCCCGCGCTCACCAGGATGAGCACCTTGCCCAGGCACACGAAGGGGGTGCTCAGCTCGGCCATGAGGAGGCAGCCCAGGAAGAAGTCGCCCTTGTCCTGGCGCCACAGCTGGGGACACGGGGGGGGGGACACGGTGACGGGGGGGCCGCGCGGTCCCCAACATGTCCCCAACGTGTCCCCAAGGTGTCCCCACCCATTGGGAAGCAGACGAGCACCGTGGTGGCCATGGAGATGTCCCCTCAAGCCACATCCCCATGGGTTTCCTCCAACCCCAACCCATCTCGGTGTCCCCTTGGTGTCCCCAACATGTCCCCAAGGTGTCCCCATGGTGTCCCCAACATGTCCCCACTCACGGTGGCCACAGGGAAGCAGACGAGCCCCATGGTGGCCATGGTTATGTCCCCTCAAGCCACATCCCCATGGGATTCCTCCAACCCCGACCCATCTCGGTGTCCCCGTGGTGTCCACAACATGTCCCCATGGTGTCCCCAAGGTGTCCCCAACATGTCCCCACCCATTGGGAAGCAGATGAGCACCGTGGTGGCCATGGAGATGTCCCCTCAAGCCACATCCCCATGGGATTCCTCCAACCCCAACCCATCTCGGTGTCCTACTGGTATCCCCAACATGTCCCTATGGTGTCCCCATGGTGTCCCCATGGTGTCCCCAACATGTCCCTATGGTGTCCCCAACGTGTCCCCAACGTGTCCCCAAGGTGTCCCCATCCATTGGGAAGCAGATGAGCACCGTGGTGGCCATGGTTATGTCCCCTCAAGCCACATCCCCATGGGATTCCTCCAACCCCGACCCATCTTGGTGTCCCCGTGGTGTCCCCAACATGTCCCCAAGGTGTCCCTATGGTGTCCCCACGTGTCCCCACTCACGGTGGCCACGGGGAAGCAGACGAGCACCATGGCGGCGTGGTGCAGCACCATGAGCAGGTCCTTGCGCAGGTAGGCGGCGGCGGCGGCGCGCAGCGGTGGCGGCGGCCCGGCCTCGTGGCCCTTCACGCGGCCCCGGTGCCGGTGGCACAGGAACATGGCGTACACGTCGTACACGAAGTAGGGCACCGCGAAGGGCGGGTAGGCGCGCGCCAGCCAGTGCCTGCGGGCCCCGGCGGCCGGCTGAGCGGGATACCCCGGGGAAAGGGGCCCCGGCGGCCGGGGGGACGGGATACCCCGGGGAAAGGGGCCGCGGCGGCCGGGGGGACGGGATACCCCGGAGAAAGGGGCCCTGGTGTCCAGGGGGCCCGGGACACCCAGGATATAGGGAGAAAGGGGCCCCAGTGGCCGGCTGAGCGCGCCGCGGGGCCCCGGCGTCCGGGGGGACAGGGACACCCAGGGGGAAGGGGCCCCCGTGTCCGGGACACCCGGGATACCCGGACTATAGGGGGGAATGGGACTTGGTGTCTAGAGGGATGGGATACTCAGGGAAAAGGGGCCCCGGTGTCCGGGGCGGGGGGGGAAAGGGACACCCGGGATAGAGAGGGAAAAGCGGGCCGGCGTCCGGGACACCCGGGATATGGCGGGAAGGGGCCCCGGAGTCCGGGACACCCGGGATATAGAGGGAAAGGGGCCCCGGCGTCCGGGACACCCGGGATATGGCGGGAAGGGGCCCCGGAGTCCGGGACACCCGGGATATAGAGGGAAAGGGGCCCCGGCGTCCAGGACTCCCGGGATATGGCGGGAAGGGGCCCCGGCGTCCGGCTGAGGCCAGGGTGACACCTGGGTGTCTCGGGTGGGGGAGGGGCCCCGGCGTCCGGCCAGTCCTTGGTCCCCCCCATTGGGGGCCCAGGCATCCGGGCACTGCCCCTCCCTCTCTCCCCCCTCCAAGGGGCCCCGGCGTCCGGGCGCTCCGGGTTAATCCTCGCCAAGGACGGGGCTGCGGAAGGGCCCAGGCGTCCGGGGGTCACCCCTGCCCCGCCCCCCTCCACGCAGGGCCCAGGCGTCCGGGCTAATCCCCATCTGCCGCCGCTGCCTAATCCCCTCCGCCCTCTCCGGAAGGGCCCAGGCGTCCGGGCGCGGCCCCTCCCCCCCCCGCTCCGAGGGCCCAGGCGTCCGGGCGCTGTCCAGTGCTGAAACACGGCCTGCGCCTATGGGGCCCTGTGGGCGCTATGGGGCAGGCTTGGGAGCCCCACGGGGTGCTATGGGGCAGGCTTGGTGCCCCACGGGGTCCTATGGGTGCTATGGGGCAGACTTGGGGGCCCCACGGGGCCCTGTGGGTGCTATGGGGCAGACTTGGGTGCCCCATGGGATCCTATGGGGCCCTGTGGGTGCTATGGGGCAGACTTGGGTGCCCCACGGGGTCCTATGGGGCCCTGGGGGTGCTATGGGGCAGGCTTGGGGGCCCCATGGGATCCTATGGGTGCTATGGGGCAGACTTGGGGGCCCCACGGGGTCCTATGGGGCCCTGTGGGCGCTATGGGGCAGACTTGGGTGCCCCACGGGGTGCTATGGGCCCCCATTGATGCCACGGGGCAGGGCCGGGGGCTCTCGGGTCCCGCGGGGTCCCAATGACACCCCCTGGGCCCGGGTGTCCCCCGCAGCCCGGGTGTCCCCTCAGGTCCCGGTGTCCCCCGCTACGTCCCGGTGTCCCCCGCGGTGTCACTCACTGGTCGTCCATGACGTGGTGGCAGGAGCTGGAGATGATGTAACCGGCCGTGGAGGCCATGATGGCCTGGACCGAGGACACCAGCCTGGGGGGACACCGGGACACGGGGGGACATGGGGGGGACACCAGGGGACACTTGGTTCCCCGGGGCCCCTCCCCCCTCCTCCCCGCCCCCTCCTTGTCCCGTCCTCGTCCCCTCCCCCCCATTGTCCTC